AATTTTTGTAACACCCCAATTTTCAAAAAGGTTATTATTATTATTATTATTATATGGTATTTGGTCATAATTATTTTAATAATTATAGAAGAATATTATTTTGTACATTTAAATAATTATTGTTTTGGACAATTATTTTGTACGTATTAAATAAGTATTTTTATTAGCATTTTTAAATAAATATTTATATGTTTTAGGAGAAGGTTGATTTTATATGATATTTTGTTATTGATATTTATTATTATATTTTAGGGTCAGAAATATATTATTATTATAGAGAAAAAATATTTTATAATATACATGTATTTATTTTATTTAATTATTTTGAGGAAAATTAGAAGTGGGTTAGAAGAGAAGGAAAATGGGTTGGGTTGACCCAGCCCAATGGATTAATTTTAAGAAAAGAGTCAGGTAGCGTTAATCCTATCTGCCTCATTTGCGTTCTAGAGGGTTAAGGAAAAAAAAGAGGAGAAACAAAGAGCTCTAAGGAATAGTACTTAGGAACGACCTTAGATCACACCAAGACCATTCGTCTTCTGCTCATCCAGGTAAGGGGGAGTGAGAAATCTTGCTCTGGGTGTGGGATTTATGCTGGGTAGTGGGATTGGCCCCCAATCCTGTGTTTGTTGTATTTTTTTGTATGCTTATGTATGAGGGGTTTTTCTCAATTGTATGAATTGAGTTACTGTGTTGGTCCAGCCCATAGCGACACTATTGTGGTTCATTCCAGCCATCCCTACGCCAAAAAAAAAAAGCCACGTGGCATGGGTGTCGTTATAGCCCATAGCGACACCGTTGTAAACAGCCCCAAAGGCGTAAATAAATTCAAAACAGCCCCATTTAGGTAAATAACTTGGTCAACGACCCCACTTTGGTCAAAAAACCTTTTTACTTGGAAAGCATGTGATTATATTGGTAAAGTTACAAAATCTGCAGACCTGATTTTGTGTCACTAAAAAATCTTTATCTCCAAAGGTGTAAAATGTGTCTGTATTTTTTTTTTTTTTTGGTAAAGTAATGTGTCTGTATTCTTTAGTGTAGTGTCATTTTCCGAAGGCGCAAGAAACTGAAATCTTCACCATAAGGTCGCTCTCTTATATAATATTACCCCAGACAGTGAATATTATTTGGTACAAAAAGACTTGTGAAAATTTTAAATTTAATGATATTTCATTACAACGCAAATAATTTTTAATAATATTTAAAAAATATTATTTAGTTATGTATAAATATTATTAATTTACTTTAGTAACATACTTTTTGGATTTTGTTACAATTAGTATATTTTTATGTCTCTTAAACTCGTAAGAGTTCTTTAAGAGAAGATTAAAAACATTATTAGTTAATCATCACTAATTATATATAAAATATCAAAGTTTATTTATTTTAAGTATAACTATATGATTATATATACTCTTTATGAATCATTCATTTATTCGATATGAGACTTTAATTATGAATAACAATTAGAGATGAGAGAAATATTTTTTTACTCGATTGAGACTGATTTTAGAAGCAATTATAGTAACATTTTAAAAAAATGTTGCAAAATAACCTAGGTGACATTTTTTTTGGGTATGGGGCTTTAATTTTGAAAATAATTGAAAAAAATAATATTGAAATAAAAAATGTTACTTTATCTATAATAACATTTTTCAAAAAATATTGTAAAATAACCTATTTATTTAATATATAGTAACATTTTAACAAATGTAAGAAAAAAATGTTGTTAAAAAATTAAAATCTAGTAGTGAATTTTACAAGATTTTAAAACTAAAATACATATTTAATGAAGACTATTTAGTGTTAAAAAAAAAAATCAACGTGTTATAATCTGATTCGAAAAAACCCAAGTTTATTATTAAACAGAAAATGTGTTACAACTTAATGAGAAAGATACAACGAACTTCCTTTTGTTTAAAATTTCCGTGAAGATTGTGTTGATTATACCCATGTTGTGCATTTCTACATATTTTCTTCACTTAGCCAAAAAAAGGGGTATCTTAATGAAAAAGATACATCTAATTTGTATGAATGAGATTTAAGAAATTGCCTAGGGACAAAGCTGCTTCAGGCTAACCCTCAAATTGAAAAGGATAAAGATCGGAATAAATTATGAGAATAAAGTAGGTTTTTATTCTCCATTTTTTGGGGTTAAACAAAAAAACAAAGATATTTATTCTTTTCGATATCCTAGCTAATACACCCAAAAAAAAAATTGTTAAAAGAGAGACATTATTTATTTAAGCTCACCAATCATCCAGAGAGCACCCGCAAAACCTTAAAGTACACATTGTGATCCTTTAATTTCAATGGACTTAATATACAATATATAGTTCATAAAAAAGGAAGTAAATATTTACGAAATCAAGCTTAACTAGGAGGGAAGAAAAATAATATAAATGAAAAATTGAAAAGTGTAAACTTTATGAAGCTTCATGAAAGGAGGCACAGTTAATCAATTGGCACTAGCTCCCAGCTAGATTAATGGTGTTTGCTTGCAAAGTTGCAACTCATACCTCCCACCTTTTGATGCAAATATTCTCTCTTTTAACCTGTTTCCTTCAACATGTGGTAGATGTATTCCTTGATTTGGTTTCAAAGGGCATCATCACATTAATTATGTTACAAGTACTCCCACTTTTTTCCAATTCAATATAATTAATTGAAAAGATGTATTCTCATCTTTTTTCCTCATTCTACTACCACAATTGACTATCTAAAAAAGGCAATGAGAGTATCAAAATCTAATGTATTATTAATTTATTATTAATATTATATATATATGATGATATGAATATACATCAATTAGCTTGGTTTCATGAGAGTGGGGCACATGCTGCAATGGTAGCACCAACATCTGTGCTTTACCTTACTTTACCAATACAACTTCTACAAGTAACCTCTTCAAGTTTTGTTCTCCTTTATTTTACACATGATGAAAAGAGAACATGGATGAAGTACCCTATGGCATGATATGGCACTCCAACAGTAAAAACAAAAACCAAAAAATAAAAAGAACAAAGATTCATTCACCCTGGTCAGTGTTGTTCTTTTCTTAAACCAGTTAAGTACCATAATTATATCCTTAGTAATCAATCAACCATGCTGTTCCTTCTACACTCCCTTATTCTTAAAAAAAAACATAACAAAGGGAGATACGATATGAAATGAGAGGTTGAGCTTCTATGTACTTGAGCCACCCCAACCAAAACATGCTTCAACTTCATGCACCATTTTGCTGTTGCGTTTCCCTCTTCCTCTTCAAAGACTCTTGCTTCTGCAACACCATTTGCCTGCGGAACTTCAAGATGAAAAGATCAGCAGCAAGGTCAATCTCATCCTCCAGCTTAAACTCTTCCCCCGCATCTTCCTTAGAATTCTTCACCAAATCAATCACCGACCCTCCAAGATCCAAATCCTCAGAATCAAAAAGGGAGTGTGTCAGATCCGGGTACTTATCATCATCATCATCACCATCATCGCCATAATTGTAGTAACCCTCGTACCCTTCTTGGTCTTGTTCCTCCACCACTTGAGTTTCACTAGGGTTTGGCAAGGCCTCATAGGAGTGTGCATTGTTGTTGGTGTACACCACTATGGCCTTGCTTTGGTCATTGCCCTCTTCCAATTCCTTGGGCTGAGAATTGTGCCCCCACAAGGAGTGGAACTTCTCAGAGAAGGAACTCATCAAGAGCTTCTTGTTCTTCATGAGTGAGAATATGATCAAACGAGCCCTGATGGAGTTTGTTTTAGACTTCAAGGCCATGGTTTTTGACTTCGCCATTGAGCTCAGATTTGCTATGATCTGCTTCAGCAACCTTGATGTTCCGTTCTTCATCTTGCTGTTTCTAATAAATAGTAACAATGCAACTAACAAATAATAAAGTAACAATAATAATAATATAACTCTATGAAGTGAAGTTGTGAACCAAATCAAAATCTAGGAAACAAAGAATGAGGGTGTGTTTGTGAGAGAGATGGTTTTGCTGTACAAAGTAGTACGTTAATGAAAGAAAAGATGTGTTTTGGGACGAAAGAGTACAAGTTGGGTACTTGGGTTTATATAGATGCTCTAGTGAGGACCAGCTGTTTTGTGTGAGGCAAACACGGTCTAAAGAAAGAGTGAGGGTTAAGAAAAGAAAAAGGCATAAAAGTGAAAATTAAAGTGGAAGGACACTTGGCGTGTGAGTAAGGCTGGTTCGATGGTATACGAAGCTGTACAATTTTTTAGGGCACAAATTATTTGTGGGGTTGGGTTTGGTTGGGACTTTGGAATTTGGAGTGTTGAATTATCCCCTTTTTACTAATGTCGTGATTTTAGATTTGAGTTCTTCAAGTGTAGGAAAAAGTTTTGAGAGAACTATGTTTAAATCACCACATTCATGCTCCCATATTAAAAAGTAATGTGACAATATTGGTGGGAAGGAATATCAAAGCAAAACTAATTAATTTTATTTAATTATATATATAAATAACAATATATGACTGCATTATATAATTAAATATTTAAAGAAAAAACTTTATCGATTATGATAGTCTTACCAACTTCAAGAAAGTAGTTTTTTTATGAAAGTCATTTGTGGTCAATAAAAAAAATTACTCACTTACATTTCTATCTTTTATTGACACTTTTGGTGGTTTTTAAGTGTTTCTTGTGCAAATGTTTAAAAACATGAACAATTGAAAAGAAAATTTATAATTAAGAAGTGAAAGCTGAAAACAAAAAAATAAATAAATAAATAAATGAATGGCCCTAGTTTGTTTAAATATTAATAAATTTTAAATCAATAAAATATACACTTATGAAAAATATCAAAACCCACTTTATGGAACTATTGAATGAAATACTACAAGACTTGAAAATCTAAAACAAAGTGGGCATTCTTTTGTAGCTTGATCGTTTTCGTTTGGCCCCTTTCAATTATTTGACCACTATTATGGGGGACCTTTGGGGCTTTTGAGGAACTAACCTAACCCTCACCAGATAGCAATGTAACAGTTACTGTTCAATACATTCACTTTAGACATGTTTGAATGACAAAAATAACCATATATAACCTTGGACCATTAGTAGAGTTTCCTTCTTTTGAGAAATGAAGTGGGGTGGTACCACTGACATTGCACCCGACCTATATTATAGTGTTTTTCTTTAAAAAAACAATAGGAATCTCATTTCCTTAATGCAGTGATCTTCGTCTGAAATTAAAATTCTACATGCGAGTTCTTTAACAATATTTTATATTTTATATTTATTAAAATATTATTATATATTAAATAAATAAATTATTTTGTAATATTTTTTTGAAAAATATCATTATAAATAAAGTAATATTTTTTATTTCAATATTATTCTTTTTAATTATTTTCAAAGTTAAAGTTCTATATCGAGGAAAAAAAATGTCACATAGATTATTTTACAAAATTTTTTTTGAAAATATTACTATAATTACTTATAAAATCAAAGTCTCACATCGAGTAAAAAAAAAATATTTCTCTTATCTTAAATTATTATCCATAATTAAAGTCTCACGTCGAATAGATGACTGACTCATAAAAAGTATATATAATCATATAGTACTTAAAATAAATGAACTTTGGTATTTTATATATAATTAGTGATGATTAACTAAGAATGTATTCCCCTAGAAAAATAAAAATGTTTTTAATCTTCTCTTCAAGAACTCTTAAGAATTTAGGAGACATAAAAATATAATTATTGATAGTAATATGTAAATGAAAATTAATTATATATATTATTTTATAAAGTTAACAACATCTTAATAACATCATTAAAATGGTACAAAAATACTACTTTGATAATATTTAAAAATATTGTCTAATTATATAAAAATGTTATTAAAATTTTTTAATAACATAAAATATATACAACATTTTAATATATTACTAAAGCAAATAAGTAATATTAATACACAATTAAATAATATTTTTTAAATATTACTAAAAAATTATTTGCATGTAACAAATAAGGCTTACATCATAGAACATACACAATTAAATAATATTTTTTAAATGTTACTAAAAATGTATTTGCTTACTAGTGAATAAGGCTTACATCACGGGACTGTTTGAAACTTCTGGGCCACTTGTTACAACCGCACTGGATTTTAATTTTTAAGACATGACGTGAACAAGGTTGAAATGTTGATTGAATATTCAATGATTATTTTTTAATCTTGTCTTTGAAAACTTCGTCCCTAAGATTGTATCCAACGGCTTCACACTTTCCATTTGGATCTACACCACTTTCTAGTGACGAGTGTTTTGGCTGCATGTGTTTATATTATGTAAATGGAAATAAAATAAACAAGGAAAAAATTTAATTATATATCATCTCTATGTTTAACTTTGTTTCTCCCTTTAATTAGTGTTTGTAAATGGCCTTCTCCATTTGTTAATTTTTTTTATATAAATACTAAAATGAAAAATAATGTGTCACGCATACGGGTTATAAAATACCCAAAACAAAAAAAAAAAGTATAGATAAAAATTAAGTGTGTGGGGATTTTATACAGGGAAAGACTAAATAAAAAAAATTATATAAATTATTAAGATCGAATTTAATATGAATATAACTTTGATAAATGAGAAAGACCCTTTTTTATTTTTATTTTTCTTGTGTGGGATAAAACTGAAATTATACTACTAGGATAGCACTCGGCACCGTTTAATTAGTGTTTCCTTTTATTGGTAAATTAATTAATTAGTGTTTCCTTTGAGTGACTTTAAAAACAATGTACTTTTTCAATAAAAAGTAAAACATATTAAAACAGTACTAATTTATAAATCTTGGAGTATTTAGTTAACATCTTTTAAATAAATAATTATTTACTTTTATTAACTTTTAATTTAAAAGAAAGTAAGATTTATTTTTTTTGAGAAACTATATTTCTCAAAAATGTTATTTTTTAAATAACAAAATAAATGCAAAAAAGTAAAATTTCTAATATAAAATTCTCGAGAAAGTAAAACTTTTTTGTTTACCAAACGTACCCTTAAGAAGCCCTTTCTACAATTTCAGCAATAGTTGATAAAAATGTAATTATTATTTTATGGATTATTATTTATTTTTTAAAAATGTAATTAAAAGTAGAGTTTAATTATTTCTATTCATTGTTAATGCAAAAAAAAATTGCATTATCGATTAATAAAAAATAATTGTTAGTATAATTTTTTAAATAGTTATAGTAAAAATTAACAAATTTATTATATATAATAACATGCATAAGTAAATGAAAGTATAGAGTTCTTTCTATTATATTATCAACAATATATATTCATTATTTTCTCTTAAAATAATATATAAAAAAATCATTTAAACATTGATATTTTAAAAGAATTAAAACTTAATTTGACATCTTTTTTATAAAAATAAAAAAAATTATAAAAATTATCGTAAGACTTAGGTTTTCATATTTCTAATTATCATAATTCTTGATTTGGTATTTAATTATTACACCATGGCTTGGGTTAGTTTTGTTGTCTCTTTTCTTTAAGTCATTTTAAAAAAAAAACAAAAAAAAAATTCTTCTTCTTAATTTTCTTCTTTAACTCATTTTTTCTCTTTCTTTTATCTCACACTCATTCTCTATCTTCTCTACTATTAATTTCTCTCTCCTCTTCCAATGTTTTTTTCAAAATGTATTTTTCTTTTCACTACACTCATGTCATCCTGCATCTCTTTAAAGTAATATTGAATTAATATAACTGAAGAAAACTAAAATTGAAACTAGAAAAATTAACAAATTAACATCTAACTTGTAACAACTTTTTCTAACCATTCAACATTATATTTCATAGCTTCTTATTAACTAGTGTTAATTCATGGGTATTTTATCTATTAGTATTTCATAAAATATCATGATAGAGGATGAAGAACGGCCGCCTGAACCTGCAAACTGAATTTCTTCGTCATGATCTATTTAAAAGCATCTTCTAGCTACTTCAAAGTTTAAACTTTGCGAGCTCAATTCGTCCATGAAATATACATACAACTAAATGTCATTAATTTAAGTGAGTCGATATTTATGTTTATTAATTAATGATTGAAATTTAAATAAAAATATCATTTTATATATTTATATAAAAATTATCAAATAAGGAGTTATATCTCCTCTCTGAGGATAATATATATATATACTGTTGTTACTTGTACGGGTGCAGCAAAAATCATTGACATGTGGTACATGACGTTTTGAATAAAACGCACAGGCCACTCGTTTGCGGGGAACTAATCCACAAAATATCAACCTATCTAATCAAATTAGTACATAAATTACAATTATATATAAATTATTGGTTTCCCTTTTTATGCTTTTAGACTTTGCTCTCTTGTACTTGCACAGTTTCAATGTAAGTAGTAGCTTTATTTAGTTTAATTAACTAATGGTGCAACTTGATAATTCTTAAACATAAACCAAAATTGACGAAGCCAAACTTTGGCTATGGTTTGGTTTTGGATGCTTTATTCAAAATTGGTTTTCCATCTTTTACAAGCAAGTTGAGAATGCATGCATTATTATTATGCTTATGTTGTCCTCAGATCTCAACAATCTCATTTGACCTATAGAAAGTTGGGCAACGTGATAATTTTGCAGTTTGTTAAGTGGTGCAATCTAGTCTGTAAAGTAAAGACTAATTAACAAAAGCTTAATAATCAATTGCATACTTTGGATTGGTTTTGGATATTTTGCATAAAAAGTTCGTTGCCAATAAAACTCAATAAAGTCCAAGCACTCATTAAAAACGACAGGTTATACTCAAATCACCTTATAATAAACTAGTGCGTTTCGTCTATTATTGGAATTGCTTTATGCTACCATCAGTAACGTGCTTTAGTAATATATGTATCATGTGCGAAAATGGTACAGTTATTAATATATACAATGCAAACTAGTAAACTCTCTGGGTTAAGTTTCATGCATTTGCGGATTTATGAGGTGTGCTGACAATTATAATTTCTTCATCATTGATTATATATAACTTATTAAAAACCATGAAATCAATAGTGAAACTTGATATAAAGAAATGAGACTACAGAATTTATGATTTGCAAAAACATTTAACCAATGACAGAAGATATGTTGAAAACGCACGTGTTATTAAGTATATTACAGGGTCTGATTTGTACCATATGTTAAGCAGTTTTCGTTCACGAGCCATGATGCAATTAAGACCTGGTACCAAATCTGTTGTTTCATGACAAATGCTTCACCATGCATTTTACGCAACGGTGTTAAGAAATTTCAACTTACTTACACCTTGAACTTGAAGAAACCCAGAAAAATCTTCATAAGTAGTAGTACCTTTTAACATTTCTAGTAACACAAAATATCAAGCCGACCAAATCCAATGATGCTCGGGTGCGCCCGCAGATATTTATACACACACAGAGTGGATATTGGATAAAAAAAACATAGATGAGTTGAGCTTAACTGCTTAAGTAAATGTATATTCAACTGGTTGGTTGATTTTTATGTTGGGGGTATAAATCATAAATATTCTCATCTCAAGGTAGTAAATAAACTACACAAATAAACTTACATTATATCATAACTAAAAACTTTAAAGAATATTTATGTTGCTTGATTTTTATGTGTGAAAAGTTACAACACTTACATTAATATATCATAACATTCCTAAGAAACTTAATTTTTTGAGAATAATTTTTGCATGAATTTCTCACAAAATGATTCTTATATATGGAGGAAGCGAAAACTAATTTTTCTGATATAAAAATAAAATTTTAATACAGTAAAAATTTTATGTTACCTTTATTTATTTATTTATTTAATATAGTAAAAAATCTTGATTCTCTAATAACACTTAGAAATATTTCCAAAAATATATTTTTGATCAACGAATAGATTTTTGTAATCCGAGATTTAATTATATATACATATGATTTGATTTAATTGGTTGTTGGATTAATGTAGTTTTTTTCTTTAATTATTTATGAAAGTGTTAACCGGTCAATAACTTTCTTTCCCATTGCACTGTCTTTTTCTCTCCCACCAAAAGCAGTGTTGTTTACAGAAACAACATCTTTGGTCCAACTTGATATTTTTAATGGAGAAACAGTAGGTTGAGGTGGTGATGGACGACAACGGTTTTGGCTTTGGTAATGAGGCTTCTTTGTGGATCTGATTTAATTAGGAAACGTACATATATGCATGCATTTGTAATTTTCTATGTGTCAAATCAAAACCAGAACTTTAGCAGCTGCATGCACCACATTTTATTTTGTTCTATATTTTGAGAAATGCGAGCTTCGGAGTTGTGCAATCTAGCCTGTAAAGATGATTGCATCAGTTAGTTCAAAAATAAAATAACTGTATATAACTTGACTATTTTACATACTTCTAGAAAGGTATATAAATGTGATGAAAAGTCCTTGCACTCAAACAAAACAACCGTTCAATAACTCACCTCACGTAGTGCCATCGCGCTTTTTGGCTTTCCCCTTTTTTGCTCTCTCACATGATATAACCATGTTGCAAGTAAATTTATTTGTTCATCATTTATTTGAACTATCAATAAATAAATTTATTCAATTTATTTGTTACAATAAAAATAAATATAATCCTTCTATTTAATTTTATAAATGGTTAATAATTAATTCACTACTTTTTTAAAATCTATTATATAATAATATGAGATGTTTATTAAACTAAAACTTTAAAAGTATTTTGATATAATTTTTTTTTATAAATTTTTAAAAAAAGTATATAAGAATGTAATCATTTGTAAAAAAAGGAAAGAAAAATAAAATATTTCAAGAATAAAAATTATTTAAAATTTTAAAACATTACTTTTGTGATTATATTGGATATTCATCCATGAAAAATTATTAATAGATGGACTAAATAAATTTTTTGCTTTAAATAAATTGGGTAAATTAAATTTTTAATAGATCTAAATGGATTAATAAATTATTTTTATTTGATCTATTATAATTCACCTAAAAACTTATCTAATCTATCTATTTGTCACCCCTAATAAGTATGAACACAAATTTTAATATATATTTTATAAAAAAATTTACTATTTATTGATTAAAATAATAATGTTACATGTACAAACAAAATTATACAATAATTTATAATAAAAAATTATTTTTGTGTCTACCTCTCTATCAATAATAATATCTCTCTATAAAAATTAAAATAATAAAGAAAAATCGACACAAAAATAATATTTTACACATTATTATATTTTTTTTATTGTACAAATACTAGTTAACTTAACCATACACATATAACGTGTTACAATATGTTACAATGAATGTTTTAGAAAGTGGTCGATATTAGCATTCCTCATAGTATATCGTGTTTTTTTAAAGGAGGCATTCTAGTATATATATAGTATATATGTGTAATGGCTTGGAAATTATATAAGATAATTGGATTCAAATTAAGTCACGTATTAAAAGATGCATTTATAATATAAGGAAAATTATAAAATAAATAAAGTGTTTTATTACCTAATTTGTTTGTTTTTCGGTACACTAAAAGTCTAGATTAAGAGAAAACATACATCTTTGTAAGGTTAAAAGGAACCACCAAATCTTAGTGAAAAATCATATTATAATAAAATTTACATTTCACTTGCTATTAAAAAAAAAATGAGAATCAAACCAAGTTATAAATAGTGTAAGCATCACACTACTAATGTCTCGACCTTTGTTTCGCGATCTAGTTTGTTTTATATATGAATGATATTTTTCATATTAAATCTAAAATAAAAATTTATATAGCATAAATCAGTATATATAATAAATATTATCAAAATTATTATATTGTAAAATACTATTAATATTAATTATTTTAATCATAAATCATTATATATATATATTACTAGTTATTGAAAATATATAATTTTCTGACAAATTTTAAAGACTACAAATACTAACTTCATAAATTAATTATTTAATAAATTTGATACATTGAACTTGAACTTATTCAAATTATTCTATTTTTATAAGTACTAGTGTACCTTATATTTTAGGAAAAATTGAACTAATATCCTCTTAGATGACACTTATGTCTAATGTTAAAAAGAAAAAAAAAAATCATTTTAGTGAACATAATTTGATTCAATTTTTATGAGAAAAGAGAAATGAAGAGGAACAAAACCTTTAAATTTAGAGGGGTGAGGAGGGATTTAAAAACTTTTTAACATAATTCAAAATATTTTTACTTATGTTAATACAAAAGTGAATTGGTTTTTATATTTTATCTCCTCCACTTAAGAACTAAATAAAAAAGAATTATCTCTCTTATTCTCTCCTCTTTCCATCAATTTTATTTTTAACTCCTTTCCTCCGTTTCTATCCTGCTCTCCTTCATTAAAATCCCTCATTTTCCCTCATCAAACAAAACGAAAACACTAAAATAAAATTAAAGAATAACCTTTTAAAATTATATATGATATTTCTCTTCATCTATATATAACTTGAATATCATTTTTTTTTAAGTCATAAAAAGCTCATAATGAAAAGAGGAATACGGAGGAAGAACAAGCACTAAACAAGCAATATGTATCATGTATGTAATAGAAATATTTAGAATCCGAGATCGCGCACGTGGTATAGCTATGCATGCTCTGCAATGTACGTACTATTGCTTTTGTCTTCTTAGGAATTTTAGGGTAAAAGTTGCAGAATACATCTCTTGGATTGGATGTCTCCCATTAATAGAATAAAATATGTTATATATTTCACCGAGGTGTGACAATTCATCATACAACTTACAAGGGAGTTGAATCTTTGTTTTACAAATAGAAAACGGGTGTTTATCATTTGAGTATATCATCAAAGGTGAGTGCAATCTACCATATATATTATATATACCCTATATTTTATAATTAATTTATCATCTTAATTTTTTTCATAAGCAATTTTTTAAAGATTAAAAGAGGTACTTTAAGCCCTAAATAATAAAAGTAAAAATAAAAAACCAAATACCAATTTAATAAAAATAAATAAAAAATAGAAAACAAAATCCGAGATTACCCTGATCTTTGTATAAGAAATTAACCAAACTATTTCTATATATATATATAAAACAAGATAGACCAAAAATGACAGAATGCCACAATGATTTCCATCCTAATTAGTTGAGTCTCCCATTAAAATGTTGAACGGTGCAATTTAGCATTCAAAGGCAAAATTAACTGTATCAAATCCAAGATCTTTTTCTATTTCTTCTATACCGGATAGTGAAATCTATAAAAAAAAAAATAAAATAAAATTATTTGTTGTTTTCTCAATCTTCTCTGACGTTTTGAACAAATCCTCTCATAAAAGTGTATTTTTACGGTGTTTTCTGTAATGTTAGTAAATGATGTGTAATTATTATTAATTATTTGATTGTTATCATTTCTGTACCAACCTGACCCGAGCCGAGTACCCGAGTTCACAAATTCGACTTGACCGAGGTGATCTCTTGAACAAGTTGACATAAAACCATGCAGTGCTGACATGGCACATCGGATGAACGACATCACCAAGACACCTCGGCATGTTGACCATAACCACCTCAGCGGTTACACGGTTACTCGGACAACCATCACAGGTAATGATATAACCAATTCGTGAAGGAAAGAACCCTAACTAACTCGATCGTCGGAGTCCTTTTTGCAGGCACATCCGAGCCGCCCGAGCGAGAAGATCGGAGAGAAGAAACTCGACTTATTGATTGGCTTCACACAACCTCAGTTGGATCCATCCGAGAAGACGACTTATCCGAGTTCAGGCGATGACCTGATTCGTGTAAGTACATTTGGCACTAGAAGGAGGGCCTAGTAAAACTTTTCCTCCTTCACCCTTATGGTTTCAACCCGAAGTCAAACCAACAGAGCAACGAGTATACCACGACCACATTCAAGCACGCCGAATATGGAAGACAACCCAGCTTTGCGGAGGTTATTTGAACAAATCGAATTGATGCAACGACAACATGCGGCGGAGATGGAAAATCTTCGTAAACAGCACGAAGTCGACCTGCAACAATTACGTGCCGAGCAGGCTGCATTTCGAGCCCAATGGCAACAACATCAACAACCACCTCACACACATCATGCTAGCCATGTTCCTCCCACCGCGGGCGAGCATGAGTCTTCTCCTGATCCCACATACCCGCCAGAACCCGCACGAACACACCGATCCGTACATACCCATATCAGCCATCCTGATCACGATGCCACGCGACGACATCCTTTCGTCGATGGAATTATGGAAGTTCCTCTTCCCCCTGCTTGGAAGCCGTTGAATATCGATAGGTACGACGGAGCCACTGACCCTGACGAGCACATTGACGCATACGTGACACAGATCAACCTTTACACAAATGACGACGCCATCATGTGTCGCGTATTTCCAACATCACTCAAGGGGGCCGCTCTTAGTTGGTACACGCAATTACCACCCAGATCGGTAGACAGTTTTGATACGTTGGTCCGCCTCTTCTCTGCCCAATACGCCACTAGCAGACCTCATCATATTACTTCTGCGGCGTTATCTAACTTGCGGCAACAAGACGATGAATCCCTCAGACAGTTCATGGAACGTTTTGCCAATGTCTCCATCAAAATCCGAAATCTAAACCCCGAAGTTGCTCTCCACTCCATGCTGATGGCGCTCAAACCCGGACCTTTTGTCGACAGTCTGTGCCGACACCAACCAACAAGTATGGACGAACTGAGAGCACGCGCCGCCGGGTACATACAAATGGAGGAACATGCGGAATTCGGTAACACTGTCCGAGATGGTCTCATTCTTAAAGGAGACTCCAGTAACAGGGAGAAGCAAAAGCATCACTTTGATCAAAGATCAAAAAGACCTCGTCAAACGCGAAGCCCCAGGTATGATTTTTATACACCTCTTAATGCTCCTCGAGTCAATATTTTGGAGGAAGCTAACCATGCAGATCTGATCTCCCTACCCCCTCCGGCCTACAACTCGGCCAATGCCGACAAGAGCAAACACTGCCGATATCACCGAAATCACGGGCATACAACGGAGGAGTGTTGGAGTCTCAAAGATAAAATTGAAGAATTGATTCAAGCTGGTCATCTTGGACAATACATCCAACGAGGTCAAACTTCTCGTGGAGGTTTCCGAGGACGCGGTAGAGGACGAGGTCGGTATCCAAACCGATACCAAGGACGTCACCATGGTCATCAAGGTCATCAAGAGCATGGCAATTACCAACATGCACCTGCGCGTGAAGAAAATAAACCCAGTGCAAACAGTGCCGATCCACAGCATGGAGAAAAACCCTCTAACGACAACAACTTGCGTGGAATCATTAATACCATTTCCGGGGGTTTCGCCGGAGGAGGAAGTTCTAACTCCGCCAGGAAGCGGCATTTACGCAATGTTCATAACATCAACAATCCCCACAATTTGGACCCCAAAATGAACCCCTCCAATCCTCCCATCGTTTTCACTGATGACGATTACGCAGGCTTAAGCCTCAACCAAGATGACCCCATGATCATCTCGGTCGAGGTGGCTAACTGGGAAGTTCAGAAAACCCTGATTGACCAGGGAAGCTCTGCCGATGTGCTTTATTGGCCCACCTTTTTGAAGCTCGACATCCCCCATACCATGATTCAACCATATTCTGAACCTCGTCTGGGGTTCGCAGGTGAGCGAGTTCATACTCGTTGTTTTGTTGAGCTATTAACCTCTTTTGGTACAGGCCAAACTTCCAGAAGAGTGTTGGTGAAGTATTTATTGGTTGACGCTGCCACCTCTTACAACATCCTTATCGGGAGACCAACATTGAATCAGTTGGGAGCAATCGTATCAACACCCCATCTAACCATGAAGTTTCCGGGCACAGATGGACGCATCATAGCTGTAAAAGCTAACCAACAAATAGCAAGGCAATGTTACGCTCAAAGTTTGAAGATTGCGCCGTTAAAGATTGCACCAATCAATAAACCCAAGGTTCCGAGTTCCTCTGTCGTGGCACACCTCGGGATAGAAGAAGCAGCCGATCTGGATCCCCGAGCTGACATGCATGATTGCCGCCTCGACCCTGTGGATGAACTAATCGAATTCCAGATTGGCAAAAAGCCAAATCAGTGCACTAAGATTGGGAAGCACATTGACACTGAAGTTCAAGGTAAAATCATGTCAATACTTATTGAAAACGCTGATCTTTTTGCATGGAGTAGTGCAGATATGCCAGGAATCGATCCCAACTTCATTTGCCATAAATTAGCCATTCACAGGGAGGCAAAACCTATATCTCAGAAACACAGGAAAATTGGAGGCGAAAGATGAGAAGCCTTCAGAGTTGAGACACAGAAACTTTTGAGTGCAGGCTTTATCCGAGAAATTAACTACACCACTTGGTTAGCCAATGTGGTGATGGTTAAAAAATCCAATGGCAAATGGCGCATGTGCGTTGACTACACGGATTTAAATAAAGCTTGCCCCAAGGATGCTTATCCACTTCCCAGCATTGATCGATTGGTTGATGGGGCCTCTGGGTATGCCATGCTCAGTTTCCTAGACGCCTACTCAAGCTATAACCAAATCTTGATATACCCTCCTGATGAAGATCACACTGCTTTCATCACAGAACAAGCCAATTACTGTTACCACGTCATGCCCTTCGGGCTCAAGAATGCAGGAGCCACTTATCAAAGACTCATGGACAAGGTCTTCGCCACTCAGATCGGTCGTAACCTTGAAGTGTATGTTGACGATATGGTTATCAAGACGACATCCGTTGTGCATCATATCAACGATCTTGCAGAAATTTTTGGACAAATACGAAAACATAACATGAGGTTAAACCCAGACAAATCTGTCTTTGGAGTTCAAGGAGGCAAATTCTTAGGCTTCATGATTACTTGCCGAGGAATTGAAGCAAACCCCGACAAGTGCCAAGCTTTCATAAATATGAGAAGCCCCAAGAATCACAAAGAAGTACAGAGGTTGGCAGGCAGACTTGCTTCATTATCTCGTTTCATTCCCAAGCTAGCAGAGAAGGCCGAGCCAATCTTCAGCCTACTCAAAAAGCCAAAAGAATTCTGTTGGAGTGAACAATGTGAACAAGCTTTTACCAACTTCAAGCGGTTCCTGTCGAGTCCACCCATCTTGTCAAGACCAAATGCCCAAGCTGATCTCTTGTTGTATCTTGCAGTAGCTGATAACGCTCTTAGTGCCGCACTTGTACAGGAAAGCGACAAGACGCAGACTCCAATTTATTTTATTAGCCGAGTACTACAAGACACCGAGAGAAGGTATCAGACAATAGAGAAGCTGGTTTTGGCATTGGTAGTTGCATCTCACCGACTTCGCCCATATTTCCAGAGTCATCAGATTATCGTAAAGTTAGATTACCCGATCAAGTAAATACTCAGAAAACCCGACTTGGCCGGACGGATGATAGCTTGGTCAGTCGAGCTGTCCGAGTACGGTATCAAGTATGAAAGCCGAGGATCACTAAAAGCCCAATGTCTGGCCGATTTTATTGCTGAGCTCACCCCTGTTCCACCTATGGATGCACAAATCTGGACTTTACATGTAGATGGATCCTCCAATGTGAAAGGCAGTGGTGCTGGTATTATTCTTGAAGGTCCAAACGACGTGATGCTCAAACTTGCCATCAAATTTGACTTCAAAGCTACCAATAACCAGGCCGAATACGAAGCTTTATTAGCAGGTTTAACACTGGCAAAAGACCTTGGTGTCAGGAAACTCAAGTGTTGCAGTGATTCCAAGCTAATCACAGAACAAGTTGGAGGAGTTTATCAAACCAAAGAACCCCAACTGCAAAGGTATAATCTTATGATTTCTCAGCTAACATCTTTTTTCGATGTTTTTCAAATAGAGCACATCCCAAGAGCACAAAATGCAAGGGCCGACCTGTTATCCAAACTTGCTAGCACGAAGCGTCCAGGCCAACATCGGACGATCATCCAAGAAACAATAACGGCCCCTAGTTGCCATGTCACATCCATCTTCGCCAACAGTTCTTATCAGCAAGGTTGGATGGCAGATATTTGGAGATAACTTAAGCATGGCATCTTACCAGATAGCAAAGTGGAAGCTTCCAAAGTTAAAAACAAGTCATGTCATTTCACCATTGAAGCCGACGAGCTACTCAAACGAGGTTTCTCCATGCCTCTCCTCAAATGCTTAGATGCAGATCAAGCTAAATATGTGATGGATGAGATTCATAGAGGTATCTGTGGTATGCACTCCGGAGCTCGGTCCATGACCGCCCGAGTTACCCGAGCTGGATACTACTGGCCAACTATGAGATCGGACTGCAAGTCATATGTACAGAAATGTAAAGCCTGTCAAGAGTTCGGCAATCTACACCAGTTACCTCCGATAGCTCTACACTCGATGCAGTCAGCATGGCCCTTTGCCTGGTGGGGGATGGATATTCTTGGTCCTTTCCCGGTAGCCAAAGGTCAACTAAAATTCCTATTAATTGCCATTGACTACTTCACCAAATGGATTGAAGCTGAAGCCCTAGCCAAGATTACCGCAGCCAATGTCCAAAGATTTACATGGAAAAAAATCATCTGCAGATATGGCCTACCTCAAGCAATCTCAACAAATAATGGCAGGCAATTTGTGGACAAAAATTATGAGCAATTTTTGTCGCAACTTGGGATCAATCACAAAGTCACCTCGGTAGAACACCCACAAACAAATGGCCAAGCTGAAGCAGCGAATAAGGTGATTCTCCGAGAACTTAAGAAAAGGCTGGGATCATCAAAGGGAGAATGGGTTGAAGAATTACCTAGTGTTCTGTGGGCATATCATTGCACACCACAAACCACCACTCAAGAAACTCCTTATAGGTTAACCTATGGCTCAAACGCAATGATACCTGTTGAAGTTGGGGAACCAAGTCACAGAAGATTGACATTTGACGAATCTCAGAATAAGATGCAGTTGGCCATAGACCTCGATTTAATCGAAGAGACAAGGGAGTGTGCTAGGGTACACGAAGAAGCATGTAAACTCCGAGCTGCAAGACGGTATAATTCCAAGCTCAAACCCAGATGTTTCCGCGAGGGAGACCTCGTCTGGCGAGCTACAGGTGATGCTCGGAGAGATACATCAGCAGGCAAATTTGCAGCAAATTGGGAAGGTCCCTTTCGTATATTGGAATGCCTACAAAATGGAGCATACAGGCTAACAGAGCTCGGTGGCAAAGTTCTTCCCAGAACTTGGAATGCCACTCATTTGAAGTTTTATTTCAGTTAAATACATGTACACACCCAGGTATTGTACTCTTTTTCCTAATTCAGTCTTTTTCCCAAATAAAAAAAAAGGGTTTTGGCTGAAGAGGTTTTAACGAGGCATGCCTGAGGTCAACTGAAGATATGTAATTGATTTATAAGTCTATCTCATACATACTCTCTTCTCCTACTCTTTCTCTTATTTTCAATTTACTCCACCATGATTCTTAAAATTTACATTACTATATATCAATTACGATCACCCGATATCATCATTTACGTAAGGTGTAAAGCCAAGTCTGAGCTGTTACCAACATCTGCGAATAATACTTTAGCCAAGTTTGAGCATAAAGATTTGCCAAGTTTGAGCAATAAATTAGATTCGCCAAGTCTGAGCATAAATTTTGCCAAGTTTGAGCAAAAATCTAGTTCATTTCAAATAATAATTTCGCCAAGTTTGAGCAATAATTTTCACCACTTAATCCTTCAGAATATTACAAGGCCAAGTTTGAGCCGACAAAGCCAAGTTTGAGCCAGGTTCATCCTATTATTCATTTTGTTCAAGTAAAAGCTAATTTCTTGCAAGTGTATGTGTGCTAATTCTCGATATAATACCATAATCAACCAAAACCTTCAAGAGGATATTCAGAATATTATAAAAATTATCAAAAGTATCAAAAGTGCAGCCTATGAAGGCCACATCAAATTAGACAATTATCAAAAGTATCGAAAGTCTAGCCTTATGCAGACCACACCAAATTAAAAGTACAAACCATACTATTATGCTATAAGACAAAATATATCTTTACATAATTATTCATTGTTTTCTTCACTGCTAATGTCATCCGGGATGTCATCCTCATTCACCAATTTCCCCTTGAAGACATCTTTGCTAACATGAACTCTCGTCAAATCAGTATTTGGAGCAACACACTTCACCTGCCATAGGGCTTTAGCAAACCCCTTCTTATGTTCAGCAACTACTTCATACTCGGTAGCCTCTATCTCTTTCTTCAATTTCTTGTTCTCATTCTCTATTTCTTGAATTTTCCTTACGTTGTCGGCAATTACTTCTTGACAAGCTTTATTTTTCTTATAGAGCTCCACCATCTCATCTTTCAGACTCTGCACATTTCCCTCATGGTCCTGAGCTTTCTTTTCTAATGCCTTCACAGTCTCGGCTTGAATTTCCTTCTCTTTCTCTAACGCACTAGTCTTCTTCAAAAGATCATCTACCTTAGCTGCATATGTCTTGTTTGATCTCATAGAAATCTCAAACGCCTTTGAGCTTTCCTCTAACTTCTTCTTCAAGTTACTCACCTCAGCATTCAATGCACCAACCTGGGCATTTTCAGCTCTCAACTTAGACATCATAGAGGCATTTTTATCCCACCTTTTCTTCCAATGATCTACCACGGCAATAGATCTTTGTAGAAACACTTGCACAGAATCCAGACCTTGAACAGGTCCAACCTTCTCAATCAACGCTTTATCCGCAATATAGGCCGGATCTTCCTTTTAAAATGTTTCCGCAGTCAACTCGGCGTTCCAAAAGGAAGTCACGTCGGGAGACATGCTCACATGATCCAACCGAGCCAAAGGATTCTCCGTGTCATATCTTTGATGCAATGACCTCGGACGGTTTTTCAACCCTGATTGGGACGACTTCCCTTGTGGAATTGGAGAGTTGAAGCCGAGTTGAGCGATTGATGCCTCCAAATTTGCCACTAAACTTTCTGAGGATTCCGAAACCTGTACACTCGCCGACTTCAAAAAGGTAATTCCAAAATCAGAAACAACTCATATAATCATATCATATTGCTTAAAAATAATAAGAAAAGAAGTATACCTTCTTTTTTGCCCCCTCATTATCAGGATTTTTCTCACTTTGCCTCTGGAGAGTGTCTTCTTTCTCCAGATCGATTACATTCTCCAGGTTTTTCATTCCTTCCACCATTTCTTTCCTTGGCATACTAGTATTACCGACATGGTCAACAACCTTTTCAACCTCTATCTTTTGCTTCTTCACTTTCTGCTTCGGAACAGCTACATCTGGGATTTCTTCTATGTTAAATTTTCCCTTCAATTCGCGCCACTTACTCTTCCCCATGATTTCTGCACATCACAACAATCAATAACATATTCAATTACACTATTTTAATCACATATAGCTATTATTATTACTTACTCTCTATATCATCTTTCGGATTTGACGACCTCGCTAGCGGTAAAATCGCTTTGCTCTCTAATGGCCGAGGTAGCTCTTCCAACATTTTTATATCTTCTTTCTCGCGGGGTGACAACACCATCCCCTCTGATCCTGAGAACCTCACAGGTTGTGGTTGCCAACATAAAGGGAATTTTGGTTCGCCATTCCAATGGAAAATCGGATCCAAACTCGGATTCTCATGAGCAGATTGCACTTTAAAGAACTCTTCTTTAAAGTTTTTGTACGATTGTGCAAAAATTCAAAATAAACCCCCTTTCGCACTTCCACTCAACGAAACCCACCCAAAGGGTGTATCTCCCAATTTTATTTGATAAAAATGCATAAAAACTCCTAAGCTCGGCTCTATCCCCATTATACTACATAAAATTTGGTACGCTCGTACAAAACCCCAGCTATTCGGATGCAGTTGACTAGGCGCAACATTTATCTTTCTTAACAATTCACACTCAAACGGGGTAAACAGAATCACCACACCTAAATCCCTACACAGGCATTGATACATATATATGAACGGAGGAGTCGTAGACACTTTAAAAAACACCCGTTCATCCGCGGAACAAGGTTCAATCGAAAGATGTTCTAAAAATGGAGGAAGGCAAAATTTCAACTTATGCTGTAATACACTCGCCTCCATTTCGCTTTTGACCCTACTCTCATATTTTCCTACATCTCCCCTCACCCACTCATAACCACTGGTAAGGATTTTAGGGTGGGAATCCTTCCTGTTATTTCCCCCTCTCTTCTGCACGCTTATCTTTTTCCCTTTATCCCCAGCACTATCACCCTTCGATTTACCCATGATAATACCAAATACAACACAAAGATCAAGAATTAACGTTTGATACCTGACACTTCGTATGCTCCCTGTGTTACTTTCTTCTTCACGACAACACTCACCCTTTGGCTATGGCAGATATTACACGGCCCTCTCGTCTGCTACGCTTCTAATCGCCGTCACCCTCACGCTCCTTCCACTTGTATATATATGCGTACCCCAAATCTCTTCATTACCTTTTCGAGCGTTGTGCCTCTTCAAAATGACGTTTCGCGCTCCGCCACATCCTTCGCATTGAATGCTTTACGACAAAACCCTCAATCATAATGATTGAACGCCGCACCTGCTCCCATTTCCCCATAATCAAGCTGTCGCGCATTTAAAGTTATGACTCTTCACACTCTACACGTGTACCTCTTCGGCTCATAACGTTATGGCTCTCTACTCCCTTTTTCAACTATCTTGGGTAAAGTCCCACTTCTTCTCAGCTCTTTCATTCTTACATCACTCAGAGCTTAGGGGGCTTATGTACCAACCTTACCCGAGCCAAGTACCCGAGTTCACAAATTCGACTTGACCGAGGTGATCTCTTGAACAAGCTGACATAAAACCATGCAGTGCTGACATGGCACATCGGATGAACGACATCACCAAGACACCTCGGCATGTTGACCATAACCACCTTCAGACAATAACCACCTCAGCGGTTACACGGTTACTCGAACAACCATCACAGGTAATGATATAACCAATTCGTGAAGGAAAGAACCCTAACTAACTTGATCGTCGGAGTCCTTTTTGCAGGCACATCCGAGACGCCCGAGCGAGAAGATCGGAGAGAAGAAACTCGACTTAGTGATTGGCTTCACACAACCTCAGTTGGATCCATCCGAGAAGACGACTTATCCGAGTTCAGGCGACGACCTGATTCGTGTAAGTACAATTTCCATATTAATTGTTCGGTTATCATTGATATATTAATTATTTTTTTACCATCAATATTAAAAGTTTTTATTAATTATTTTTTAACTAACTAATTCTAATATATAAGAAGTGATAGAGTAAACCTTAGGACATATATGATGACACAATGTTAAATAAACCTTAAAGGGCAAAATTGTATTTTAGGTTACACTTGAGATTTACCAAAATTTACTTTCAAGATAACAACTAGTTTCACAACACAATATTATTTTTCATTTATTTTCTATTAATATTTTCAAACAACTACCTAATAGAAGTTTTGCTACAGCTGATAATTAAGATGACAAAAGATCAATTAGGGTGTGTTTTATTACTATTTTAAAAATTGCTTCTATAGTTTTTGAAATCATGATTAAATTTCTGTAAAACCAGCTCTGGACCAGGTTCCACCCCAAGAACCCTACTCCAAATGATCCATACCCTTCAGTTAAGACTACAAATAATAAAAGAAAAAGACTAGAAAATATCTCTTAGCAGTTTTGTTTATTTTTAAATACTTGTTTTAAATATTGAAAAATTAATCACTAACTTGGATGAACTGATTTTAAAACAGTTTTAAAACTAAAAAGTGATTAAAGAAATCAAACACACAATAGGTGTTCGAACAAGCTTGTCTTCAAAATTGCCTAAGATTGTATCTAATTAAATATATAATAAAACTTCAAATAAGATTCTCATTAAAAGAATTTGTAGTTTATACCATTAATGTTGCGTGTCTACGATGATATTTGTGGCGATCAGAGATTAAGCACGGATGGAAGTCAGTGCAGTAAAAGCTGCCAAGAAAAAGCCATTTTTCCTTTAGACGTGCTAAACACTTCAAAAGTGTCCGAAATATTTAAGAATCTGAACATGTCATCAAAGGAGGCTTGGAGGGCAACCAATTCTTAAGAAAACAATATGCAGAACATGTACAAAAGCAACCGTAAGAATCAACTATCCAAAGTAATCATCATTTCATCCTTTCCTTTAGTTTAGAAAGCTGAATATTGCAACAAGATATGACGATCACTAAAAAAAAATAGTTACATATAATAACATAACATATAAAAAGTATCATTATAGATATAATACATGTATATATAAATTTATTCAACATTAATTACATACAATTTTAATATTGATTTTAAATAAAATTCAACAAAATATATTATATTGTATGTCATTATAATATATCTATACCTTTTAACAACATATCAACATATATTATATGATAAAAATAATTTTTAGTAACAATTATCTATAAAAGTTTTTTTGGCACTTAAACTTCAAAAAGGAACAGAGAATTTATTTTCTTTAGAGAAAAAACAAACAAATATCTCAAAGATACGAAGTCTTAGATAAAATCATTTCCAATTAACACACACAAAAGTTCCTCCCATTTTGTATCTAAAAGGTAATAAATAACATCTTTGATCAGATAAAAAAATGACAATTTGATGAAATGCATTTAATGCATCAATAAACACCTCTCTACAAGGAAGGAAGACAAAAAAAGACAAAGCAAACCTATGAGAGAAATCCAAGGATTTGCAACCGTCTTTTATCATAAAACACCTATATAAAGAAGCCCGAAAATCTAGAAAAAAGAAAAAACAACCATTCATTCTTTCTGTAAATCTTTGTATTATATAAATTGGTTGTATCACATCTTGTAAGTAAGACGAAACAAAAAGTAATTTCTTAGCTTTAACTTTGTGTTATAGCTTGAAGCCTAAAGAGGTTTTCTTATAAAGAATACTTAGTTGTTGAAGTCTAAAGAGGTTTCATTATTCAAATAATATTTGAGAAATTGCTTGAAGAGACAAGTCAAAGAATACTTAGGTTGAATCGATCTGTAAAAAATTACTTGTATATTTGCAACTATAGTGGAACTTAATCAAATTGATTAAGAACATAACTTAATTTCGGTGGTTAAGACGAACCAATATAAAAAACAATATGTGTTCTTTGTTCTTAACTCTTCGTCTACACTCTTAAGAACTTGACACTATTTCACTGTTTTAAAAAAGTGTTAAGTTTTCAATTAACATTATTCAACTCTCCTTCTAGTGTCTTTCTTTTCTCAATAATCTGTGATTACATTATTGCTCTCACAAATAACTCTCTCTCTAATCCCTCAAAATTTATGATTGTAAAAGCTAAGATAATAAACTACTATAAAAATCCTAATTTATAATAATTTAAATGAACTTTTGTTCGTGCATACTTGCTTAGAGCACCCATATAGTTCAGTTAAACGAGTTGTTTGATCCTTTAAGAGGTAGTCTCTGACTTGCCTCGCTCAAAGTGTTTGTCGTGGTCACTCTAAATGAATTTTAGCTTGCTCAAAGTGAGTAGCTCGTTCATTTAAGCAAGATAGCATTATCTTCCAAGGGTAGTCTCTAACTTGCCTCTCATAGAGCACCTATCATGTTTGCTTTAAGAAAATTTTAGCTTGTTTAAAAAAAGTGACTTGTTCACTTAAATGAGCTAGCATCATTGATGAGATTCCACTTGGAAATCTCAAGAACACTTCAAGCCTCTCGGAATTCCTTAGAAGAACATCAAGGAAGAAGACTCCAATTGGCTTCAATGTGACTTAGGCTTGCTTCTAGCCAAGTCCAGAGAAGAAAGAGTTCCTAACTCTACAAGGAGAGGAGCTCAAGTAGGGTAGAGTTTAGGAGATGTGAATTTCGGAGAAGGAGATTTCTAAAGAAAGAAAACTCATCAATTAATTCCAAAAGTGTCTTACAATTCTCGGCCAAGGTGATTTATAGTGAAGAATTAGATTAAAGTGACCTAGGGTTAACCTAAAGTTAAGTAGAACCAAGGTAAGGTTCACTTAACCTTAGGCGGTGAAAAGTGATGACTATGTGAATATGATGAGATGATGTGAAAAGTAATGACTATGTGAATATGATGAAATGATGTGAAAAATGATAATGAGACATGAAGATGTGATATGAGAAAAGTATGGAGTCTTGATTGACATGCATCATTTGCATAAGTGTTTTTAAGGGTACGATATGGAATACACCGCCAGAGAAGGCCCCCTAGTGTAAAAGCTTTGGGGATTAGTCCTTGGGGATAGTTCGGTTTGGAAGTCCCAGTCTCGCCCATTGTGTGCATGGGATGTATCTTGCGCGGCTTAGCTATCCCGGCGAGACTCTGGTAGTATATCCTTCTAGTGAGAGTGCGCAGAGGGTGTGACCCGGCATGTACTCCTAGACTACTCTTCGTGTATTGCTAGCGGCAATATGC